TGTATGTATGTGTATTTATATATATATATATATACACACACAGATGTATGTATGTATGTATGTATGTATGTATGTATGTATGTATGTATGTATGTATGTATATATATATTCATGTATTTGTGTATTTATATACACATACACATATACTGTTTGTTGCACTCAGGTTTTCGATGGGTTTACGAACTTCATGATATTCCCCAAGCTTGGCCAGAAGCTGCGCCCCTCATTGGATAGATTTGAGCGGCGATGCGGAGAGACGCTTCAAAGACATGCAGAGGATGCACCTGGACTTAGGGCTTTCCGAAACCGGTTTAGGGTTTAGGGTTTAGGGTTTAGGGTTTAGGGTTTAGGGTTTAGGGTTTGGTTTTGTACAAAAAAAGACTCTATAAGCTTTCCTTATGTAATTCTTGGCAGCACCTGCAGGTATTGGCTGCAGCAGATTCTTTTCAGGATCTGGGCAAAGCGAGTCAGAAGATCTTCTACCTGCATTCGTTCCTCGGTTACCCCCGAGATCCGATGCAAGGCAAACTTATGGAAGCCTGCCGCAGAATTGCCGCTTCAGTGGATGAGGATGGCGAGGATGGTGATGTTGAAGATGTCCTGTCTACGGTGTATAAAACCAGCTTGTTCCACAACTATGGCCACGGCTCGTATTTCAGCTGGTCCCACGAGAATGCCAGCAAAGCCATCGAGGAGTTTGAAGACCTGGTGATTGGTTTCTTCGATAAGTCTCCTGGTAGGCCTTCGGGACATTTTATGTGTAACATAGTGTCCTTAATCATTACAATAGGGTTTTGGGGGTTCCTGATCATAATTTTAATTATAGTATGACATACCCCGAAACCCTTTCTAATTATTAAGGCCCATATTACCCTTATTGAGCTTGAGAGGATATCCTTTACGAACATCTTTGAGAGGCCTGAACGGGGCAACCTAGGTCGGTTACTGGGCTCAACCTCACAGAGTGTTTGGGAAGTCTCGGGTGGAAGCTTCCAAACATCTACGATGACTTCATGGCCATCCTCAAGACGAAGATCCGGCCCTACCCGGACCCAGAGGAGATGGATACGAAAGTCTTATATCACACCATGTACCTTAGGGGTACTTGGAAACATGTTTCAAGTTTCGTGGCTACTAGAACCCTTAGGAAACAGCTACAGCTTTACTTTTTTGAAAAGGTGCCAACCCTAAACCCTAAACCCTAAACCTCAGTAAAGGTACTTCGTGACACACCTGATCTACTTCTTCACAGGTTTCGGCCTGGAGACCTTGAAAGGGGTTGCGAGACTGGAGATGGAGCCAGAACTGCGATTCTTGGAGGCAAGCGGGGTTTAGGAACCCGAATTTAGGGTTTAGGGGTTTAGGAAACCACTAAACCACACTAAACCTTAAGCCGTAGCCGGCCTAACACGCAGAGCCCCATTTCTCGGTTCCATCCCTGTGGAAGGCAGCCCTGCCATTGCTGTCCACAGGAGCTCATGCACCAAATCACAAACTGGTAGCTCCCATTGCATCTGGCAAGCTTTTGGAGTTTGCTTCTGGGTGTAGCAGCGCTACTTTTCATTTTCACCCGCCTGGAAGAGCTTTGTCAGCCCATCTGCCTCGTCAGGAAGAGACCGACATTCTCGGCGAAGTCATCTACTGCCATATTCTGCTCGGGGCAAACGATTCCGATCCGCGAATCCGCCAAAAGAGACTCGCGATCGTTGCAAAACAGCGGCAGGACGGCCTTTTTGGAAGCAGCCCTGATGATGACGATGATGCTGACGACGACGACGATGATGGCCTGGACCACGCGACCTACAATGCCCTCACAGCTTTGATCCCTCATTCCTGGTTCCCGGAGCCTGCGAGCACAAAAAAGCTGTCCATGATGACACCAGCTGCTCTCGACGAGCTTCTCGGACAAGCAGGCATCCTCCGCCCAAGGCGAGTGAATGTCGCATCGGACGACGAATGAGTCGAAGGTCTCCATATTTTAGAGAGCACTGCGCCAGTGCTTCTGAAGGCCCCTTTTCAACGGCTCTGTGAAGGAAGTTCACGGAAGCCTCCCGTGGAGTTTAGGCCCATTCTGCAGCGACTGCCCTGCGACCTTGGGCTCTCTAAGAGACTCTAGGGTTTAGGGTTTAGGGTTTAGGGTTTAGAGTTTAAGGTTTAGGGTTTAGGATTTAGGGTTTAGGTTTAGGGTTTAGGGTGTTGCGGGCATGCCATGGTGGCGTGAATCGGAAAAGGTCAGACCCCGGCCGCTCTTTTTGAGTTCTCAGGGCGTTTCGAAGCTCTCCTGCAGACTTTAGGGCTTATGGGCTTTGGGGTTTGGGGGGTTTAGGGTGTGGTTTAGGGTGTGGGGTTCTGACGGCGGGGAGATGCGATTAGTCGCGCCGAGCCTGGTTTTAGTTTTGCCGGCCATGTTCTTTGGCCGGCATCCGAGGGTCGAAGAAAGCACGGGAGCAGAAACTATTCCAAAAAAGTTGCCTTTTGCAGTGGTACCATCTCAGCAAGCTACAGTCCAAACCCTAAACTCCCTAAAATCCCTTAGCCCTAAACCGTATTAAGTCCATGTGCCTTGTGGGCCCCAGAGTCTAAAACAGTACGGCTTCTGCACCTTCGCGCTGCTTATCATGAGATGCCCTTACAGATGAACCTGGAAGCTTGAAGCCTATAGGGTTTAGGGTTTAAGGGAAGGGTTTAACGGTTTAGGGGTTTAGGGTTTAGGGTTTCTAAACCCTAAACCCTAAACCCTAAGCCCTAAACCCTAAACCCTAAAGTTACCATAGTAGGGATGTACAGCTTTCGTCCTGCCCGACGATGGTCCCCTAAGCTTCCCCAGCTTACTCCAACTCTTCTGACATGGGTCCTACATGCTCCGAAACAATGGGTATACTTAGGGCTTAGGGTTTAGGGCAGTATACTAAACCCCTAAACCCTAAACCCCTAAACCCTAAACCCTAAACCCTAAACCCTAAACCCCAAACCCTAAAAACCCTTAACCCCTCATGTCAGAGCTCCCTGCCAGAGGTGCGGCGGCAGCAGCTCCTCGCAGAAGTTGAGGCCTGCCTTGACGAAAACCACTAGTGGTCTTCCAAGACCCAGATGATGTCATGCATTTCCCTGAGGGTCCAAGTACCTAATAATCATATACTCTCCCAAATAGTAACCTACATAACTACTATCCGAAACCTAAGTACCTGATTATTGGGTCCTTTGGACCCTTGGGGTTTTATAGTCTTTGTCTGAATGACGCTATTTTGACGATCGCTATGCAATTTATAGTCCTTACACTCCCAGTGCACTGTTCATCGTTCCGGGTTTCGCTTTGTCGTAGCCTAAACCCCTGAACCAACAAAATCACTGAACCCATGCAGTTTGTGGGGAGCCGGTGTGGGGAGCAATGATTTTCCTTCTGTGGGGTGGGGCTACTTCGGTCTCTGTGCTACTCCCAGAATCTGTGCTGTTCTTGCTTAGGACTTAGTCAGTGTGGTCAAGCGGGTAGTTCTCTAAACTGGGGTCCATCCCTATAAACAGGACCCTAACTGGGACCCTAATTCTGGAGAACTGCCCAAGTGTGTTTGCAACCTGGACCCTCCACCGTAGACCCCAAACCCTAAAATGCTGGGACTACCTGGGAATTTCAGAAAACTAGGGTACCTTATTCTGGGGTCCTTATAATAAAGATTCTACTACTTAGGGTCCTATACCAGGGTCCCTTATTTTCTGAGACTCCCACCTTGTGCCTGGTGTCTTTCTTTTGCTGGGTACCTGCCTGCCCTATGGGGCTCCCTGGAGACTCGCTGAAAAAAACACGCCCTCAAACAAACAATGCTAGACCCCTGAACCCGTACCGCGGGGTTTGCAGTGACGAGTGCTTAACACTAAACCCTAAACCCTAAACCCTAAACTGCTCTGAAACCTGTCAGGTGCTTAGGGTGTGAAGGGTTTAGGTTTTCTAGGACCACTTAGGAGTTGAGGGGAGGAGTCTGGTCTGCTGCGAAGGGGCCCTGCCAGAAACTTTACGCTGCAGGGTCCAGGGCTGTGGAATTTGCGCTTTTTTTTTGTGTGTGGTTTGGAGGTTTGATGAGCCTGCGACATGATGGAGGTGAGCCTAATATAGGGGCCTCGATGATTACCTATACTATTTTGGGGCTCCTTATCAGAATGATAGAACATACCCCAACACCCTATTCTGATTAGTCAGGCCCCTACATTAGCTTCCAGCCAGGGTTTAGGGTTTATGGTGGAGGCCTCCAACCCCGATACTCACAGCGCGAACGCCCTGCTCTTTGAGTTTAGGGTTTGGGCTTCAGGGTTTAGGGTTTAGGATTAGGCTAGTTTAAAAGAGGCTTTAGGGTTTAGGGTTAACTCCACAAACACTGGCCGCTAGCCAGAACCAGACAGTATGACCTGACTTTCACAGGCTTGCGCTTAGGTGCCCCTGTTGGCTCCTCTACACCTTAAACCCTGAACCCTAAAGACTCAACCCATACGCTTCTGTTTAGGTTCTGAATTAAGAACGCCTAATAAGGATTCGGACCCTAGTGACACACTTTGGTAGTTCAAGGTCCTCCGGAAGGGAATCTTCGGAATCTCGGCTTTCGGTTCTATTGTGCCCGATGGTTTCTCCTTTGCTCCTTGAAACGGTAATCTCTTTATCCTGAGAGTCCTCGGCCCAAAAAACCCCAAAAACCCTAAACCCTACCTTTGACACTAAACTCTAAGCTTCTGATCTGGTGTTTCGACGGCGAGCATGGCAGACAATCCTTCAGCCTAAACCCAAAACCCCTAAACCCTAAACCCTAAACGGCTCTGAACCCCTAAACCCCTAAACCCTAAAGCCCTCAACCCGTCCTCCTGGATAAGGCCACGCCCTCGCGAGGCGGCGCGCGTGCGCTACAGAGATACCGGCTCCGAGACGCGGCCCGGCCCTCTGTGGCTTAGCGTATCAAGGTTGAGGGTTTAGGGTTTAGGGCTTAGGGTTTAGGGTTAAGGGTTTAGGGTTGAGGGTTGAGGGTTTAGGGTTTAGGGTTTAGGGTTGAGGGTTGAGGGTTTTAGGGTTAGTTTAGGGCATCAGGGTCTAGGATTCAGGGTTAGTTTAGGGTATCAGAGATTTAGGGCTTAAGGGGCTTGGTGTCTAGCATTCAGGGCTTATTCAGGGTCTCGGGGAATTGTAAGGATTGTAAGGTTTAGGATTTAGGGTTAAGTTAAGTTCCAGGGTTCAGGGTTTAGGGTTTGTTAGGTTTGCAGCTTAAGGGGTTACCCCTAAACCCTAAACCCTAAACCCTAAACCGTGTTAGGATGCTTCCCGGGCTATAGGGAGTTCCGGGTTTCGGCAGGACCGGGCCAAAGGAAACCTGGAGCTTGTAGATTTTAGGGTTTACCCAGAGTAGTTCCTTTTTGTGGCTTATATTCAGGATCCTATTAGGGAATCCCAAAAAAAAAGGAACTATTATGGGGCCTATGGGTGGAGGGATTAAGATTGTTGAGGGTTAGGTTTTTGCAGGGCTTTGCGGGTTTAGGCTTTAATGGAGGTTGACAGCTTTAGGGTGGAGTTGGTACAGCGACGTGACCTGAAACCTTGCTGCAGCAGACTTCTGACAAATTCGCAGAGATCACGAGGGTCTTGCTTGCGGCACAAGGTTGATCGTCTGCGTGCTCAGGCGTACAGATTTTCTAAGCTGTCAACGCCGTCCCTACCGGCTCTGTAGCCTCAATGGTAGCAACTGCATGTGCGGCGGCCCTGTGTGTCTTGAGAATCCACCTTTAGGTTGCGCAACGTATTTGGCTTCTGGCACAGTGCTGCGTTACTGTTCTACCCCTTCAAGCATCTTAGGGGTAGTTCATTAAACATTCGGTGTATGATCGTATCTCGTTTAATGACGAGTCCGGAGGTGGCTGAGGTCAGGTGCTTTGCTTATTCGTGAACTCCTGCATGAGTAGTGAGGTTTTGGGGTTTGTGTGTGTGGGTTTGGGAATTTAGGGCTTGGTTTTTTGGGTATCAGCTTCAGGTCCACATTGTTGCGGGATGGTACTGGCCATCCATGAACATGTTGCCGCGCCTCCCTAAAAACATAGAGGAAATGGTTGAGCACTGGTCTTATTTTTGAACGAAAGCCTGGCCCAATCCATCTGCAAACCTTGCACCAGGTTTCCCTTCTATGGTCGCGACTTCGGCTATGAGGCACATGCATCTCTCGTCACAGCAGTATAGATAGGCAACCCTTTGCGACCCTCCACACTACTCAAAACGGATTGTCCGTCTCTTGCGAAGCCTTTTCCTGCAAGAGCTTTGGTTTTGCAGCTGTTTGACATGTTGCATTTTATTTGAGCCTGAACCACCCTTCGGTAGTTCAAGCTTGGCTGTTGACTGTGTAGCGGTCGGAGACTTTGCATCAACAGTTCGTGGTCGGGCTTCAGCTCCCGATCGTCGCTTGAAGACCCGCCGCCATTAACGATTCCATGAAGGCCAATCTCAAGCCAACACGCATAAGTGTTCGTCCTCATTTCCATCGAACGTTTCAGTTAAAGCTGGAATACCGGAACAGAAAAATCAAGCCTGGCCTGTCCGAACGCCACCCTGCCGCCCTCAAGAACCCTCGTCCCCAACCAATGTTGACCAAAGGCCACAAGGACTTCTCGCCCCAGGTAGCTTGCAAGCTTGAGCTGAGAAGGATCCCTTTGAGGGTTTAGGGCTTATAAAACTTAAAAGAAACCTCCCTAAGTCCCTAAACCCAGACACCAATCCCTAAACCCTGGACCCTAAACCCTAAACCCTAAAGCATTGATTGTCAGGTCGACTACATGCTCGAACTGGGGTTACAGCCCGGCGATCGCTGCTTTGCCGAGTACCGCTTGCAAGCGGCAGCCCCGGCTAGGCTGCTTTACAGGAGGGTTTACCTTAACCTACCAAAACCTACTTTTGTGTAGGGACTCAAAGTTTACATTAGGGTATATCTGGGAACTTGTTGGATACAACTTCACATTTTTGTTATATTAAAAGCCAATAAGGATTAAACATGAACACTTTTAATATAGCCCCAGCAGGGAACCAGATATAGTATGACCTACAACAATTATGTTTTTGTAGCTTAAGGCAGGGGTTGGGGTTTTGCGGTTTAGGGGTTCGGGTTTCACCGTTTTTTGGTTTAGGGATGTAAGGTTTGAGGGTGTAGGGTTTAAGGGTTTAGGGGGTTTTTTTAGGGTTCAAGGGCTTTCAGGGTTTCAAGTTTAGGGTTTATTAGGGTTTTTATGGTTGAGGGTTGAGAGTATCCCCATCTTTCTGGCTTCCCCATATTAAACCCTAAACCCTAAACCCTAAACCCTAAGCCCCTAAAGCCCCTAAATATTTAGCCGAGGCCCTGCCGTTCACCCACGCCTGCGCGGTCGCTCTCCGGAGGTCGGCTGCATGGCTTCTGTCGGTGGGGGATCTTCGCTTCAGGGACTCTTGCGTTTGGGGTTGGAGGGGGTTTGTAGGGGATTTAAGGGGTTCGGGTTCAGGGCTTAGGGTTTATTAAGGATTATGACAGCTTAGGAATTCGGGGTGTAGGCTAGTAGGGGCTTGAGGTTTAAGGTGTGGGGTGTTGGGGGTTTACGTCTTGGCGCAGGGTTTGGAGCTTGGAAGGCTATTGAGGTTTGGGGTGTTGGGGGGTTGGAGGTGTAATGTAGGGGCCTAGATAATTACCTATATTTTTTTTAGAGGGGGGGTCCTTAATATAATTGTAGCATAATATACATCAAAACCCTATTCTAATTATTCAGGCGGAGGGTTTGGAATTTGAAAACTTATTCGGCACTTAGACATTCCTGGGCTTCAAGACTTTACCTTGCGAGTGTCGGGTATAAAGGTTTGGGTTCGAGCGCTGTTGCCAGGTGCACTTCTACATCCGCCGGAGCAGTTGGGTATGGGTTTAGGGTTCAGGGTTTAGGGTTTAGGTTTAGGGTTTAACCAAATAACCATTACGGATCCGGTAAGGTAGCTCCGAAAAGGAACTCCAATGGAGACTCTAGGTAAGGACCTTCATTACGAAAACCCGACTTGCCCGTCTGGGCATTGTCTCCCCTGTACTGTCTGTCGGAGCAGGAAGGATCCTAATGTCTTAGTTGCAGCTCGAGAAACGGCGCTTCTAGGATTTGGCAGAGCTGTCATGAAGGCTCCGAAGGGTTGTGGTGATTGTCGTTTATGGGCTTCGGGGTCCAGAATTGATCTGATCATCATTTAGTAGAATGGTTGGGTAGGATTTGGGATGCATGCGCCTGGTGCATGTAGTTTATGTTTCCCTTCCCGTTGCAGATCCTGTTGAATCTGAGTTAGCACCCATTGCAACACACTGCCTGAAAGAAAGGTAGGTACCTTGATCGGGGTATCTCTGAGTCGAACCCCTCCTGGCTCCCATGTCGAATGTGACTTGCTAGCTGGGGTTTGTGTATACTGTAGGGGCCTTAATAAATACTACCTACTACCTACTACCTACTACCTACTACCTACTACCTACTACCTACTACCTACTACCTACCTATATTATTTTGGGGGTTCCTTATTATAGTTATAGTATAACGGCAATATTATGGCTCTGGGGTTGGGGTTTCATACAAAATTTTAGGGCCATGCCTTTGGGTTTAGGGCCCTCTGGGGTGCCTTTAGAGGCGATCGACGGCGCAAACTGGCAAACATCGCTGCGACGAGGCCTGCGACATGTTTTAAGCCAAGAGAGCTCCGTCGAGGAACTTGCAAAAGCCGTTTTGGCTTTACTAGGTACGGAGTACCATAGGGGCCTAGATAAATACCAATACTATTTGGGGGCTTCCTTATTATAATTATAGTATAATGGGCCCCAAAACCCTATTCTAATGTTTAAGGCCCCTACATTAGGTACGGAGTAGCAGTTGTTACTGCCGTGTTGAATTTGCCAGGAACCAGGAATTGAAAGCACCCGACGCGTTTTACTTTGACGCCGAAGTACATCGGCTGTTAGTTAGTTGCAAAGCCGCTCTAGAGACCAAGCCCTAACTTCCCATGGAAGACCGTCCCTAAACCCTAAACCCTAAACCCTAAACACTAAACACTAAACCCTAAACCCTAAACCCTAAACCTAACCAATCTTGAGGTTTAGCCCATGAGCCTTGCTCCTCGGGCTGAGGTGTATAGGGGCCCAAGTCATTACCAATGCTACTTTGGTGCGCCTTACTATGATTATAACAGAATCTACCCCAAGACCCTGTTCAATTACAAGGCCCCTATGTTAGTATTACTCTGGAATTTGCTGAGGACAGCGCAAAGCCGACATGAATTACAAGTCAGATCCAAAGCTGCCTGATCCTGCCCAGTGCAGTCCTGAAAATCAATCCTGGCATTAGTACCCCTCGCAGCAATTCTTATTCATAATAATCCTTATGCTACAGCAAGCCGTATTCCTGAAACCTAAACCCTATAGTCACGGCACCTCAGCAAAAACGCCTCAACCCGAACCCCTAAGCCTAAACCCAAGCCTCCATACTGTATAAAGCTTACCTACTGTATAGTTTTCTATTTAGTGCACCTCCGCAAAGGGGAGTGCCCTCAGCTTGCACAGAAAAGGGGCGCACTGCACTCAAAATAACCCAAGCCACTTCACCTCAAAAAAAACTTAAACCCTAAATGCAAGCCCAAAGCCCAAAACCTGGAAACCAAAATCCAAGCTGCAGGAAGCGGTGATCGAACTCTCGGCCGGTGCTCCGGGCTTGCTTGTCTCGCGCGGGTTCGAGTTTCGGGTTTACTCTGCAGGAGTTGAGGGTTTAGGCCTCAGGGGTGTCGGGTTTAGGCTTCAGGTGTGTCGGGCTTAGGCTCCCGGGGTTTTAGGCCTTAGGGTTTCGGGATTCAGGGGTTTAGGGTTTCGGGGTTTAGAGTTTGGTGTGTTTGGTTTGGGACTCAAGGGCCTCCCAACCTTGCCAACTTCAAGGAACAGACGGTTTGGAGTTTAGGGTTTTAGGGTTTTAGAACAGACGGTTTGGAGTTTAGGGTTTTAGGGTTTTAGAGTTTAGGGTAACAGGGTTTGGGAGTGTGGGATTTCGGGCTCAGCCCAGGCCAGCGTAGGCCCCTAAAGCTCGTTAAGAGCTTCAGGAGGGTTTAGGGTTTAGGGTTTAGGGTTCCTTGCGATCCACCCCGACACCCTCTTCCACCCTATCCCCTAAACCCTGAACCCTAGGGGAGCAGTTTGAGATCCATCTTGGCATATGGCATTGGAAGGCTAGCTCTTGCAAGTCCTGGCGGCATATCGTTTGCAGTGTCGTTTCGGGTGGCGGCCATAAGAAAAGGGCCTCAACAATTGCCTATATTATTTTGGATGGCTCCTTATTGTAATTGTACTATAACGGACCCTAAAACCCTATTCTAATTAGTACGGCCCCTACATGAAGATGATGCGGCGTTGAGGGATGAGCGTGTCGGGGTCTCACCTAGGGGTCGGAATGGTTGTCGATCGGCATTAAGATTCCCTTATCGTTCCCAGAAAACTACAGAATAAGATTCACCAAAAGCTCATTAAGGCGACTATATCAAGGTTTAGGATTTTGGCTTTGCGGGTTGTTGGTGTGCAGAATAGCACCTCGAGGAGTGTGCAGCCAACCTCGGTCACGTTCCGCGGTGAGTTTTGCAACCGCTGTTGTTTCGCTATCCATACGACGAAGCAGTACTGTAATTTGAGTTTGCGCCAGGTCAGAGGCATTGCCGGCACATGTCCAGGCAGGGGTGTTACAGGGTTCCCTGAGGTATAAGGGATACTATGACGGTTGCTGGCGGTGAGCACTGCAGGCCCTAACCCCTACAAACCAGTTCAAAGAACTAGGAGATGCAGTGGTGGGCCTTAATAATAATTAGAATAGGGTTTGGGGGTATATTACACTCTAATTATAATAAGGAGCCCCAAAACCCTATTCTAACTATTTAGGCCCCTACATTATGTTAATCTGAACGAAATTGCTTCAAGCCGGAATCCTGAGGTAAGCTCGAAAGCCTGCCAACTACTGCTGGAGCTCAATAAGTGCCCCAAACAACTCCAAGATATTCGATATACCCCTCTCTCCCATCGAAATAAGCTCGAAACCCTCATAAGCTACACGCTAAACTCTAAACCCTAAAGCTCTACTAGCGAACCCTAAACTCGTCAGTAAATCCTATGAAGCCTAACATTATAGAGGCCGAAATATTGACCTATACTATTTTGGAGGGTTCCTTATTATAGTTATTATATGATATTTTACCACCCAAAACCCTAGTATTCATGATTAAGGGCCCTATATTACGTCCTTACGGTGAATCCTAAGCCTCAACCCAACGAGGTCGACAAGCTGAGACCGAATCCAAGTCTACTCGTTCAGAGGCAACTGGGGTAGTTTTCTAAACTACTGTTGATTCTTTAGGGTTTAGGGTCTAGGGGTTTAGGGGTTAGGGTTTAGGATTTAGGGTTTAGGGGATATAAATCCTGCATTACCTTAAGGACCCTATAAGCTATGGGAATTCCTGGCATATTCCTTAATGGTGGGTGCAATGGGTAATGCAGGATTTATATCATCAATAACCATAGGGTCCCCTTTTTAGGTCCCAGGGATAGTACGGCAGTCTTATAAAAAGAGCCCCAAAGGGAACCCTAAATTTAGAGAACTACCCCTAACCCTGAACCCCAAAATCGTAAGCTTGCAGCCGCGTTTGGATTGGAAGCCTGGTCATGTCTGCACCCTGGTGCGTTATGGCTCCAGGGCAGGACGGGCAGTATTTTCACGGAGGATGCGTGTTAGAAATACAGCAGCAGTGCTACCAACACGGGCATGCGCAAGCTTGTGCTGGGACGCCTGGTCCCGGCACCGAAAAAGAGTGGAAACCTTAACCCTTGACCCTCAAACTCTCCGAAACCCTGAATTCCCTAAGCACGAAACCCTACACCCTAAACCCTAAACCCTAACCTTTTTCCCTAGACCCGAAACCTTGGCTGGCCCTCCACTTGCACCTCCAATGGCTGCCCGTGATTGGAACGACAAGCCTTTCGAGCTGCACCCACAGGGCGTCGGTGCATTGACGATTCCGGTGATTCCAGGTGCGGTTAAGGGTTAGGGCGTTATAGGGTACTGGTTAAGGCTTCTTTGATTTATGTTGCATAGTAGGGATATGTAAGTAACTAATATGTTTTCCGTTTAGTTTCGGTAGCTTAAGAATCCCAGCATAAATTTAATGACATGGCCCAAAATCAGACTCTAATCTTTGATGCTCCTTTAACCCGTCCGAAACTGTCGAGCCTCTGAATCAGAGGCTCGAAGCAGGATTCAGGGGAGAGTGCGAATCGCAGTCTCCTGATGTTGCGGAAACCAAGAGAAAACATACCAAAATCAATCTCTAACCTCGAACCTGCCAAGGTCCAAAGCCCTAAGCCGTCAGCTTGAACCCTTTACATGGGTAGTTGTCAAAATTATGGTCCCTTTTGGGGTACCCTAAATAATGGGTGCCGTATTATAAGGACCCAAAAAGGTTGACAACCACCCACATGCAAACTTCAGGCTTGAAGCCCTTCACTCCCATTCCGTGAATCTCGACCTCTTCGGCACAAGCTTGCACCTTAGACCCCCATACCAAAACCCTCAAACTTGTAGGAACCCTTATGCAGACCCGTATAATAGCACCCCTTTTAAATACTCCCCTCAACCCTAAACCCTAAACCCTAAACCCTAAACAGGGAACAGAGCCCGAAACCTGAAAGCTCCCGCGGAAAACTGGGACCCAGCTTCCGCCCTCAACCAGAACCCATCTGGGGGTTCCTTATTTTGGGGTCCTTATAATAAGGATCCTATTATTTAGGGTACTATATTAGGGTCCCCTATTTTCGGAAACCCCCATTTGTTCACCAGATCGGGTTCCCTTCTTTGGTCTCACAGCCCCCCCCCCCCCCTAAAAACCTGCCTGTACTATCCAATAAAGTAATCCGTGGATCCTTCAGAAGCCTCGAAATTTTGCCAAGAAGAGGAGTCGCACTTGAAGGGTTTGATTTCTGCCTTGTAGGGCATAGCAATTCTTTCAGGTTCGGGTTCACTTAAGGGGTGAATGCATAGATAGGCGGTTCCACAACGGGCCCTCTGACCCGCAACGATACACCCTCTAAACCCTATATCTCCCGTGTTTCCCAAGACGCCCAGCTACCTGCAGTACTTCTATTGCCAGGATCATGCACCTCTGCCCTTCACCCTAACCCCTAGAAAACCCAAACCCTGAAAACAAGGGCCAACCCTGTAAACCACACACCGCATACTGTTGATGATAGCAATCCTGCATTACCCATAATAAGGAATATACCATAATTACCACAGTTCAGGGTCCAAACGGTAATGCAGGATTTATTTCATCAACCGTAGTACAACCTAAATGGCTGAATCCACCGTGTGCTAGGCCCCGAGATTCTGAAGGAAGCAATTGAGAAAGCCTTTGTGGCTCTGCCTGAAACGTGCGCAACACGCTGTGCCCTTACTGCCGCTGGTACAATAGATTCAGAACAGCAGTTACTACTGGGACCCTAATATCACTTCCTACATCGTTGGGGTTTAGGGCTCCTAGTAGTGATAAGTTCCTGTTCAACCTTTCACATTATGACTTTGGGAGAATTTCTTGGAGTCGGAGATGCTTAATCTTGGTTTTAGTGGCTGGGGTCTAGGCTTGGGTTCCTCATTTTCTGCCTGTGAGGGCTACTTCGACAACAATAAACCAACAAGTCTAAACCCTAAACCTTCAAGAATGTAACTGAACTCCCCGCATTTGAGGCCAACTTTGAGGACAACGACGGCATCTCTGCTGTCCACTGGTTCGGCCGTGCGTCGGATCTTTCCAACACATCCTGGAGTGCTCTGCGGGGCAGCATTCTGGGGAGACAGAGCTGTGTTCCTCCCTTAAACTTTAGGCTTTGAGTTTTTTTTCCCGACACGCATGTTATGTCAATGTTCCTGCAAGTATGCTATGTTCGCGTTGCTAACTGCAAGCACCTTTCGAGTTTAAGTGGCGGCTCTAGTTGCTGCTTTTGCAAGCCTGGCGGTACCCCGAGATGGCCCTGGAAGAGCCAAGGTTCAGAGCTGCAACCTTCAGTGGGTTATCCTTGTCCATGGCTCTGGTGGTATGACGTACACCAACTGGCGCTACTGGGCCTCCGAAGACTTCACCTCCTTTTGACCTTTTGAGGGTAGGGCTCAGGGTTTAGGGTTT